GGAAGGGAGAGAGATAGAGAGTTAGAAACATCGATGAGAGAGAAACATTGATCAGCCGCCTCCTGCACATCTCCCACTGGGGGTGTGCCCACAACCCAGGTACATGCCCTTGACCGGAATCGAACCCGGGACCTTTCAGTCCGCAGGCTGACGCTCTGTCCACTGAGCCAAACCGGCTTCGGCGATTATGGTGTTTCATTGGCAAGCAGGAATTACCTCTTCTGCCATACTTTGTGATCATGCTGCTTTAATAATTCTGGGGTCCAGCTATCCTTCCTTCTTTTGACCAGTTTGGAAGCACTTACATTCAAGTCACATCTCAATTTGTAATAGCAGTGCTTTGGGTCAACACTGCAGAATAATTGAAAAACAATTCATATTTCTGCCTGGAATTCCTTCCCTTGGGATTACTGACAGAAAGAAAATATGTGTAGATTATGGTGATGGTATTAACATTTCCGATTTGCCAGTTTTGAGTTTTAGAGTGGTCACACAGCTGACAATTTTTCTAGCGGGAAGAAAGTCAGTATTGACTCCTGGGACATCCTGTGAAGGGTATTTTCACACACCTGAACTTCAGGATCTTAAAGGATATAACTGAAGGTCCCCACTAACCATCTGTGGATCTGGAGGGGCCAACTACTGAGAAGATGCAGAACTGTGACTTTAATTATTTTTATTTTCTTCTCTCCTTTCTGAATTAGGAAATGTCGCTCACAGGTGGCGTCCTGGGTTTCAGAGAGGAAGTAATAGAAAGCATGTAAATGGTGATATTACCTTTTCTTTGGCTTAATGATACATCCCGTTTTTATTTTTCTTCATCCTCACCTTTCCAGATTCTCCACTCCATCTTTGGGCTGCCATTGCAGATGGCCCACATAGCTCCTAGGCTGTGCTTTCTTCTCAGGCAGCTCTTCAAAACCCAGGCCCTGCCAGTTGCCATCAGAAACCAGTCCCTTGGTGTTATGTTTAATTCTGATTTACTTTGAGAGAGGTATACTAGTTGACATACATCCTAAAAAGTGACTGCTATTTGTTTGGTTCTGCCCTAAGTAGTGTTCTTACTTTAACTAATGTAACCCTCATGACTGCCCTGTGAGGTGAAAATCATTTTCTGCATTAGACATATGAAGATACAGGTTCAGCCTTAGCCAGTTTGGCTCAGTGGATAGAGCATTGGCTTGTGGACCGAAGGGCCCTAGGTTTGATTTCAGTCAAGCGCACGTACCTTGGTTGCAGGCTCCTCCCCGGCCCAGGGCCTGGTCAGGGCTCTTGCAGGAGGCATTGATATTTCTCTGTCTTTCCCTCTCTCTTCCACTCTCAAAATCAATGGAAAAATGTCCTCGGGTGAATACTAACAAGAAAAACAATACAAAAAAAGATACAGCTTCAGAGATTTTAAATAACTTGCTTAAGGTCACACAGCTAGTAAGGGGAAGGCTCAGAATTCAAACCCAGATCTGTCACTTCTAGGCCTGTGACACATGAGGAAAAGCTGAAAGGACCAAAGCTAGAGTCTGGGAAACATGATACCTGCCTTCAGATACTTGAAGATCTGTCACGTGGAAAGGGAACTGGACTTTCTCTGTGTGATTCTGGAAGGCAGAACTAGGATCAAAGGATGGAAATTCCAAGAGGGGAGGCAGCTTGATAGGAGAGAAAAGCAAAATGGGCTGCCTTATGAGGGAGTGAGTTACCCACTATTGGAGGTATTCAAGGAGAGGCTTTGCCACTTCTTATCACGGATATAGTAGAGAAGTTCATATTTATGTAGGTAATTGGACTAAGTGATCTTTTAGTACTCTAAATTCTGTTATGTGAAAATTATGTCGAAGTCCCATTCTTTGGATCTGTAAAAAACCAATACTTTGTGCCAGGCACTTGCTAGACACTTTTCATATAATATCTCATTTAATCCTCAGGTATTGTTATCCCCACTTTACAAATGAGGAAACTGAGATTCCAGAAAATTAAAAAAATATATACTGGAGGTTACATAGCAAGTAGTAGTAGGCTGGTTTTGTTTTGTTGTGTTTTTTAAACAGGGCTGATATTTGAGCCTATGTCTGCACTTTCTTAGATGTGTGTCCTAGGGTAAATCTGTGTCCTCTCTGAGCTAGTTTTCTTTGTGAAATGAGACTTGTGACAGCACCCACTTTACAATGGGCTTATGAGGCCTAAATGATGTAATATATGCTTCTCACTAGACCTCACTGGTTGCCCTCAAGAGTCTAGTCTTGGGAGTAAGGGGGTACTTTGGTTTCTTCAGGGTGAATTCAGACCTGACTGAAACCCTGAGAACTCTGGGATTCATTCTTTGTGTTATTAGTAATAGCTGCCGACTCCTCGAAGGGCTTTGTGGCATTAGTGACTAATACCTTAAAAACTTGAGGCCTGAATAAGAAGATTCAAGCCCTAGCCGGTTTGGTTGAGTGGACAGCGTCGGCCTGCGGACTGAAGGGCCCCGGGTTCGATTGTGATCAAGGGCACATGCCTGGGTTGCGGCTTGGTCCCCAGTAGGGGGCCTGGAGGTGGCAGCCAATCAATGATTCTCTCTCATCATTGATGTTTCTATCTCTCTCTCCCTTTCCCTTCCTCTCTGAAATCAATAAAAATATATATTAAAAAAAAGAGGAGGATTCAGTCAACAGGTTCGAGTATAGGAGTTAGTGCCAAAGGCCTTGCTCTAAGAAAATTCTCATCCTACTCTAGAGTCAGAATCAGGGATCACTGTTTGCATTTTTAATTTAAAGTCTTACTTTAGGATGAGCAAGGTCACAATTGTTAGAGCTGTGATAGAACTAGATGCCAAGAATAATAACCCTTAATCTCCCTGTAGCCATCTGGGGAGGTATTAAACCCATTTTGGGGTTTGGGGGCACAGAACAGGATCAGACCTATATAGAGGCTCTTTGGAGGCAGTGTTAGGATCAGGACCATGGTAGAATTTCGTCCTTGTTTATAACCTCCAGATTCTATTTTCAGATAGCATAGAACTGTGCTTATCCTAGAAATTTTATTTTTGAAAAATATTTTATTGATTTCAGACAGGAAGGGAGAGGGAGAGAGAAAGAGAGAAACATCAATGTTAAGAGAGAATCACTGATAGGCTGCCTCCTGCATGCCCCCTACTGAGGATCTAGCAACCTGGGCATGTGCCCTTGACTGGAATTGAACCTGGGACCCTGCAGTCCACAGGCTGACGCTCTATCTACTGAGCAACACCAGCTAGGGCTATCCCAGAATCTTTTAGAGAGCCTTTCTCAGAATGGGAGTCAGGCATTTCTGGTCAGGTAACTTCATAAGTTGAGGCCTGTTCGGGTGCTGATGACTTACCTGTTCCCTCTTGAGTCAGACATCTATATGTAACACAGCTATAACTGAAATAGAAGGATGCATTTCCACATTGATTGGCTTAATGTCCCTTGACCTTTCTGCTAGAAGTAAAGTTAGAGGGTGAAACTTCAAAGGCTTCCTTATGAGAAATACTTTGAGTCATAGCAGGGTTAAGAAGGCAAAATCCAAGACTGTGGGTGCTCATAAAAACAGTGAGAGAAGACAGCATTATCAAAATGTGATCCCTTTTCTCTTTCTGTTCTCTTCTACTATCAGAAGGTAATCGTGGCCCTAGAAGGCAGGAGAACTAGCTGTGATCACTGAAAAGCAAACTTCTGAAAACATCAAGGAAATTAATTTCACAAAGCTCACATGGCAAAACAGAACCTGTTCAGGCAGAGAATTAAGGTTAGTTTTCATCCAGAGTCTCCCACAAATGAAAGATTTCTTAGGATGGACTTCCACCTAAAAAGCTTCTGTCAGCCCCATATGGACACCTCATTTGAGCCTGGAGCCTCAAAGGTGTCAAAGAACTTTTCCAAACACGCTTTGCTGACAGGCCTGTCCTACCGAGCACACCTTTTTTAGATGCTGTCCTTGTGCCAACTTAGTCCATGACCCTGAAATGCACTCTCTTTTTTAATTTAAATTCTTTACTGTTTAAAGTATTACATATATCTTTTTCCCCCATTGACCTCTCACTGGCTGCTCCCACCCGCCAACACATGCCCTCACCCACTTACTGTCGGTGTCCATTAGTTATGTTTATATGCATGCATGCAAGTCCTTTGGTTTATCTCTTACTCCCTCTTCCCCTGCCTTCCCTCTGAGGTTGGATGGTTTATTTGATGCTTCTCTGTCTCTGGATCTATTTTGTTCATCAGTTTATATTGTTCATTATATTCCACAAATGATTGAGATCATGTGATATTTATCTTCCTCCGACTGGCTTATTTCACTTAGCATAATGCTCTCCAGAGCCATCCATGCTGTTGCAAATGGTAAGAATTCCTTTTTTACAGCAGCGTAGTATTCCATTGTGCAGATGTACCACAGTTTTTTAATCCACTCATCTGCCGATGGGCACTTAGACTGTTTCCAGATCTTAGCTACTGTAAATTGTGCTGCTGTGAACATAGGGGTGCATATAACCTTTCTGATTGGTGTTTATCTGAAATGCTGTCTTTATTGTGTTTGAGACCAGCAGAGTCAAGGTGATTGTGATTCCTTAGCTTAACCCTAACGAATGGTAGGAGGCAAAATTTCTTTTATGCAAGACTGCTTGGACATGGCCTGATTACAGATGGTAATAGTAACTTTTTTTAATGGCCAACAGCATGGGTCCTGCAATTAAACTATCTAGTTTGACTCTTCATTTAATAACTCTAACTTTGGGCAAATGACCTTCTCTATGCCCCAGATCCTTCATCTGTAAAATGAGGATAATAATAGTACCTGTCTCATAGGGTTGTTATGAGTAGTAGTCAGATGACACTTGTAAAATGCTTAGACTGTTCAATAAATATTTACAGGGCTCAGTGGCAGGTATTTTATATGTATGGCTCTTCCATTTATCACTCTGCAAAGGCAGGCATTACTATCTCTGTTTTACAGATTAGGAAACCCAGGTTTAGAAATGCTGTCACATAGAAAGTAGGTAGCAGAACTGGAATTGGAACCTTAGGTAACTCAGACTCCACAGCCCAACTCATTTTATTTTGCTAGTTCCAATGAGCTTTAGGCATCGGAAGTGCATTTATCTTTCTTTACCATAGGAATGCTCCAACAGGAAAACCACCACAAATAGTGAAAGGAAACGTGCATACATCTTTTGCATAATTCATAATGTTGAAAAGGGGTCAGTTGTCACTCCTGCTTAGGGCAATTCCCTGCTGTGGGAGGCAGCATGCCCAGAGGAAAGATGGGAGTTCAAACTCCACTCCCTACTACTACCTAGCAGTGTGTCTTTAGAATCAGGAGAGTGGCATTGAAAGGGGTTTTGTAGCTCATCTCCTAGTCTGCCTCCCATTTTACAGATGGGGAAATGAGCTAGCAAAGTGAAATGCCCCACTGCGGGTCATACAGCCAGAGAGGCAAAGCCTGGCCTGGAGCACCGACTGTAGATGCAGTCCAGTACTTCTTCCTCAGCACCACATTACACTGTGCTTCAGTTCTCCCTGGTTAAATGGGGATGATAATAGCTTCCTCACAGGATTGTTGTAGAGTTCAAATTAAAAGCATGACCAAAAGTACCCTGATAGGTATAAAACACTACATGTATGTAAGGTAGTCGTGCTATTATTCAGTAAGTATTTATTGGCACCCATTAAGCCCATATCACTCCTTGGAGACCTAAAAGGATCAATAGATGAATCAGATGAAGAGCTGGCCCTCAGGATGCTTTTAGTGTTTTAAGAAAGAAGCCACGTAAATAACTACAAGGTAGGAGTCACACAAAGAAAGGAAAGGGTCAAGACTAAATTTTCTTTTCATAAGTTGTGATTTTGAAGTAGAGAAAAGAAGAAAGGGTTTGGGGACTTCTTTATAATTGAGATATAATTCACATATCATAAAATCTTGCCTTTTAATGTATATAATTCTGCAGTTGTTGTTTTTTAAATATTTTATGTTTTACAGAGAGAAAGGGAGAGGGTTAGAGTCAGAAACATCGATGAGAAACACCGATCAGCTGCCTCCTGCACACCTCCCACTAGGGATGTGCCCGCAACCAAGGCACATGCCCCAGACCGGAATCGAACCTGGGACCTTTTAGTCCGCAGGCCGATGCTCCAGCCACTGAGCCAAACCAGTCAGGGCAATTCTGCAGTTTTTAATATATTTACAAAGTGGTGCAACCATCACCACTATCTAATTCCAGAACATTTTCATCACCTGCCCCCCATTACTCCCACCTTCTCCCTCAACCTTAGACAGCCACTGATCTTTCTGTCTCTGTAGCTTTACGTAAACGATTCTTGATCTTTAATATAAATGGATTCATACAATATGTATCTTTTTGTGACTGGCTTCTTTCACTTAACAATGTTTTCAAGTTGTAACATGAGTCAGAACTTCATTCCTTTATATGGCTGAATAATATTCCATTACATAGATCAACCACATTTTATTTGTCCATTGATGGATATGGACTCTTGGGTTATTTCTACTTTTGGGCTATTATAAACAATGCTGCTGTGAACATTCATATGCAAGTCTTCATGTGGACATGTTTTCATTTCTTTTGGGTATATATTTAGGAGTGGAATTTCTGGTTCATGTGGTAACTAACTTTATGTTTAACTTAAAAAAAATTGATATCAGAGAGGAAGGGAGAGAGATATAGAATCATCAATGATGAGAGAGAATCATTGATCGGTTGCTTCCTGCATGCCCCACACTGGGAATCGAGCCGCAACCTGGGCATGTTCCCTGACCGGGTATTGAACCGTGACTTCCAGGTTCATAGGTTGATGCTCAACCACAGAGCCACACCGGCCAGACTATTTTCCGAGAGAGAGAGAGAGAGAGAGAGAGAGAGAGAGATTTGTTGTTCTATTTATTCATGCATTCATTGGTTGTTGCTTGTATGTCCTCTGACCAGGGATGAACTCACATCCTTGTCATATCCAGTCGATGCTCTGACCATCTAAGCTACTGGCCAGGGCTAAGAGGAGGCTTTCTTTCTTTTAAAAAAATAGTTTAGAGAGAGGTAAGGAGAGAGAGAAACATCGATGTGAGAGTGCAGCATCAATAGACTGCCTCCTGCATGCCCCCTACTGGGGATCAAGCCTGAAACCTAGGAATCAAATCAGCAACCTCCTGGTGCATGGGATGATACCAAGCAGCTGAGCCACACCAGCCAGGTCAAGAGAAGCCTGCCTGCCTTCCTTCCTTCCTTCCTTCATTATTATTTTTTTTTTTTTGCGTGAAATTACATCTTTGTGTTGCTAAAGTCCCATTTCACTTGATCCAGTCCTGAAAGATGTGCAGCTGGGAATTTAGTAGAGCTAGAAGCAAAGCCAGCATCCAAAATCTCCATGCCAGCCCGACCAAAGTGGGTCTTTTATATATATTTAAAAGAAAAAGTCTCCGTTCCATGGTGGAGCTGGGTCTGGTTTAGCATTAGGCTATTTGCAGTCCATTAGTCCATTGTGTTGGGTCCACAGGTATGAGGGATTGCTCAGTTGCAGGTTTGATCCCTGGCCCTGGTAGGGACATGTGTGGAGGTAATCAATTGATATGTCCCTTTCACATTGACGGTTCTCTTAGAGCAGCGGTTCTCAACCTGTGGGTCTCAACCCCTTCACGGGGTTGCCTAAGACCATCGGAAAACACATATATAATTACATATTGTTTTTGTGATTAATCACTGTGCTTTAATTATGTTCAATTTGTAACAATGAAAATACATCCTGCATATCAGATATTTACAATTCATAACAGTAGCAAAATTACAGTTATGAGGTAGCAATGAAAATAATTTTATGGTTGGGGGTCACCATAACATGAGGAACTGTATTAAAGGGTCGCGGCATTAGGAAGGTTGAGAACTACTGTCTTAGAGGAAGCTTTCTTAAACAATTTTTTTCTTAACGGAAATAATACTGTCACTCACACTTAGTAAATTATCCAGTTGTGTCATGTAATTCTCACAACAGCACTAACATAGGTACTATTATCTTCATGTAACAGGTGAAGTGTTTCTTGAACACTTGCCACATGTCAGGTATTGTACTGTTTTACAATGTATCATCTCATTAATGTTTCCAATAATCCTATGAGATAGATATTAGTACATATACCTACATGGCAAGTTAAAAAAGACAAAAACAAGAAAAAAACCAACCCAGGAACTTAAAGAAAAATAGTTTTGCCCAAGATCACACACCCTAGTGTGTAGTAGAGCCATATTCCAACTCATGTTTTTTTCTGTTCAAAGCTGGTTCCTAACAGCTATTTTTATATTATTATAAAAGCAGCAAGTGTTTACAATACTTGGAAAATACATAGGAACAGAGAGAAAAAGACACCTGTTGTCCTACCAGAGAGCAAACATTTTGGTGCATATCCTGGTCAGGGTGTATGCAGGAGGCAACCAATTGATATGTTTCTCTCACATCGGTATTTTCCTCTGTCTTTCCCCCTCTCTTCCACTCTCTCTAAAAATCAGTGGAAAAATATCCTCAGGCGAGGATTAAAAAAAAAATTGAAACTCAGAAGGGCTAAGTATTTTGTTTTGGAATGTGCTCATTGACACAATGAGAAGGCTGGAATTCAGTAAGTATTTTAAGTCTGTTTTCTCTTTCTGCCACATTATCCAGAGCCCGAACAAGGACATGGCACACGTGAAATAGGTGGTTCCTGATGTGTGTTTGGGATATTAGCGTTCAATCCCTCGTTCCAGATGA